TGTGTGTGTGTGTGTGTGTGTGTGTGTGTGTGTGTGTGTGTGTGTGTGTGTGTGTGGAGAAACCTGACTCCGGCCAAACCTCCACTGGGAATGTCTGAGAGTCCACCACCTGTCCACACACACACACGTTGGGATGTCCTATCTTGTGGGGACATCTGATTGACATACTTTCTCTGACCATAACAACTGTAACCTGTTACTAAAACCACATTTTGTGTCTCAAAAATGTCTCTAAATTTGTGGGGACGGGGATTTTGGTCCCCACAAAGATACGAATACACACTCTCACACACAAACACAAAGTTTATTTTGCTCTTGCCTCGTTGTGACCACTGCAGGTGCTCTGCTCATGGGCACGTCAGCAGTTGATACGAGTGATTTGAACACAGTGGGAATGAACGTCTGTGAGCGGTGAGGGGAGACCTGTTCGGTGTTTTAGACCGTGAGTTTTGGAGCGTGTCCACCTGCTGTGTGAACCCAGGTCGAGTTTTTTATGTTTCAGTTTCTGATATTCTGTGATGAGCATCAGAAGACTTTTATCTGCAGATAAATGAGTCGTCGTGTCAGTGTGTCTGCAGCTGGAGTGGGACAGGTGTATCCTGGCCTCAGCTGTGACTCAGAGGTGAAGAAGCTCATGTTCGGCTCAGACGTTGGCCATAAAAAGCTGGAAGCCATGACCCAAAGTGCACAGAGCAGTTCAGCCCGACACGCGTCCGCTTTGCGTGTGAGTGGAGCGCATGGATGACGGAGATCCAACATCTCACTTCGCAGTCGGACGCGCCTCGCCGCCGACATCGAATCGCTTTATAAGAAGAGTTCATCAGACCATCACGCGGCCTGTTTGGCTCATCAGCTGATTAACGCTCTGCAGATTGCGGCGTGTCCGGTAGCAGCAGACAAATCGTTTTCACTCTCTGGCGAGCTCGTCATCCCGCCGGCCGGTTCTGATCTTTTCACCGGGCCTGGATCATCCAGCCGCTCGGCAAATATAGAAGCTTAATCCATCACGCAGGCAGGGAGGCAGGCAGCAACAGAGGGGGGACTTCCTGTGGACCGCCACCTCACAAAGACCGCAGCGCAGTTTCACAGACGGAGACCGAATAAGTCGTCTCCACTCGTGACGGAGTGCAGAAGTCCGATGTCTCCGGCTGCTTTCAGTCTTCGTCACACGAGCAGCTTCAGGTTCTCGTTTCCTGGAATCCTGCCAGATGAGTTATGGCGGCGGTTAGCTGCTAATCTCAGCAGATATGGCGATATGAAAACGTGTACAGTGATGACTCTGCCCCACGCACAGCTGATGACACAAAAAGCTTTTTGTAGCCGAACACCGAACATGTTCAAAGCTGTAAAGTTGGATGTTTTAACGTCGGAGCCTCTGAGGCATGACTCGCTTGTACACCTCAGAGCAGGTGCAGCTTTTGGAGTTTCACTTTCTTAGCCCTTGAAGTTGAAGTTACTTCTTCAAATTTAACGAGCCTCATGATTAAAAGTTAATAATAATAATCAGTTGTGAGAGAATTGTGAATATATGTGGAGCATGTCAGATAGAAACTGGGGAGGAGGGATTTCCCTGCAAGAAGCACGAAAACAAACATCTGAAGCTCCGCTGGTCTCTGATGGGTGGAGCTGTGTGGAGCTGTGTGGGGTTTAAAGCAGACGAGCTTTGTCTCTCTCCTCCTCCTCCTCTCCTGGCCGAGCATCTCCGTGGCGGTTCAGGCAGGTTCGTGTTGTTATGTAAGGCCGGCGTGCGGCGGCGTCCCATCTCTGCTTCCTGTCTTTGTTCGGCCCTCTGAGGCGTCCACATGTCTCATCAGTGGCAGCAGACCTGAGATCAGCTAATTATCCGAGCTGGAGTCCCTCGTGGACAGGACGAGACAGAAACATCCAATTATCCTTCTGTTCGTGCTCGCCGCTCTCTCGCTCGGCGGCTCTGAGCAGAAGCAGGTGTGCGTCCCCTCGCCGTCTCGGGGGCTTTGGAGGCCCGAGCGTGACGTGGGTGATTTAGTATGCAGCCAGAAATAGTCTGCTGAAAATGTAGCTGCTCAGCTGCTTTCTGCAGCAGCACGGCATCCTCGGTGTTCTCCACCCTCTGCTCGGAGCCCAGACACAAAGGTGGTGCAGGGTACCTCCACAGACCTCCACCTCAGAGTGACCCGAGTGTGTTTGCAAGATTGTGATGGAGCTTTTGTGTTAATAAAGTTACAGATTCACAGATGAAGACCGGTCTGGTTTCATAGTTCCAGATAAATCGACCCAAATAACACATTCGTTTGGTTTATTCTTAATTATGTTGATAATTATCCTACGAAATAAAATCCTTAATGAACTTTTTGTGTATTTGCAGTGTGTGAGTGTAAATAACAGACAAACTTTGGGTTTAGTTCTTTTTTTAATTAGTTTTAAGCTAATTTAGGTTGTTTAGTTACAAGAGGACGTTTATTTAATGATGTATCTTCAAGTAAAGTCATTAATTAAAAACAGCAGGGGGCCCAAACTTGAACCTTGTGGTATACCTGATGGAATATAAGGAGGAGCAGAGCTGAAAGCAGATTCTAGGAAACTTGATCCTAATCTTTAGACGGTGAAGGACTTAAAGAGGTGACGCTAAGAGCCAGACTGTAGATTTCTGCTTTTTATTTCCACCATGCTGAGTTTTGAAGAATGTGGAAGTTGACAACGTCTGCTTGTCTTCCCTTTTCTCTGCAGCTGTAAATTTAACCTGAAAGGGAAGAAACTATAAAAAATGTGGAACATCTCGAGATGGTAAAAATATTAAATATTTACAAAAACAATAAACACGAACAAGTGAATTAAACAGAACAAAGCCACAGCCTGGATACTGTGTGTGTGTGTGTGTGTGTGTGTGTGTGTGTGTGTGAGAGAGTGAATGATCCCAGCACAATTAGGCGCAGTGACAGCACCGTCTGTTTACTCGAACAGACGCCGGCACACACAGCTTTGTTCACCTCTTCACACACACACACACACACACACACACACACACACACACACACACACCTCTGCTCTGCTTTTACCCTCCACAGAAAAATGCATCTTTCAGTCCCGTCTGAAGGTTGATGAGGTTGATTGTGTCAGGTTGTGAAATCTGTTTCCCTAGAAGAAAGTTCCTCAGGCTGTGATGAACCTGCGTCAGCACATGAGCACAATCTTCATGTAACAACAGTAACATAATAGCGACTGCTTCAGTGAACGAGCCCGTCAGCCTGCAGCGCAGAGCTGTGTTCGTGATGCTTTCATCATCGTGGGAACTTTTTCTCTTCTGATTAATAATTTAACAACAAACCAACAGCTGATTGGCTGAAAGTAAAAGTGAGAAATCAGAGCTGAGCAGCTGGAGTGTGAAGACTTCCCCTTTAATACACAGTGACGTGACCTCTGACCTCTGCTGAGTCAGCTGATGCCTCACATCACTTTCGTTTTTATTTGCCCTTCTTCCTCCTCTCCTCTGCTGGAGCTGAGAGCAGGCTGGGAAGTTTAGATCCACAGCGCCCCCTGCAGGAGCAGCCAGGGCTCTGCAGGCTTCAGTCTGACTGCAACCTGCACATTTATCCAGCCATCCATCGTTTTCTACCTCTTATCCGGGTTGTGGGGACAGCTTCAGACCTTCTGTGCTGATATTAGACTTTCAGTGGATTTGACTGAGATGAATATAGATTTGAATGCTGGATTATTTCTGGATTAATAAAGAATTTAGTGTTTCAACTCTGGAATTTTAATATAAAAAATATTAAACTGAAACAGAGATATATATAGAGATATATATGGAGAGAGAGAGATCTATATAGATATTTAAAATAATTATTTTTGCCAGTAAAAACAGTTATCTTAATGTTTTTTTATTGTTATTTAAATTCTATGAAACGAGTCGAGGCCTTTCTTTGTCTTACGTGAGGAAAGTAGAACGGGAACAATTCTTTGCTCAAATTATTCTCATGTTATCTCTCCATCTTTCTGTGTTTGACGCCACTAATCGTAATAAAGTCGGCTGTCCTGCGTCTGTCGCGCCTGACTGGCAGAAATCTTCCTCTGATTTGAGCTGCTTCTGTTTCCAGATGTTAAAGGTCCTCCGGCTCACCGATTCTCCTGCGGTCAGAGCCCGTACACCAACAGCGGCTCCTGGGACAGGAAGTTCTGCATCCTGACCGACACCCAGCTCATCCTGCTCAACAAGGATGATGAGGTAAAACTGACCAGCTCCCACAGGTCATGTGACCTTTCCACGACACACTCTCTGACTTCCCTCTCCTCCTCTTCCTCCCCCTCAGGTTGCAGGTGACGCTCAGGAGAGCCCCACAGACTCGGCAAAGGCTCGCAGCCTCCGCAGGACGGTCAGCGTCCCCTCAGAGGGACAGTTCCCGGAGTTCCAGGCAGAGGGCGCCACCGCCATGCTCGGTAAGATCAGAGCTGGTTATGTAATACCAGGTGCATCAGTGTGTGTGTGTGTGCGTGTGTGTGTGTGCACGTGTGTGTGTGTGTGAGAGGCCAAACCCTGCTGTCATCAGGAGGATTAGAGTGAAAACAAAAGAACGGCTGTGATGAGGAGGGTTTGAGTATCTCTGTGACGACGTTCACGGTCATGTGATCACAGACAGAAACCTGCGTCATGTGACGTCACATGAAGAGGAAGCTTCATCCTGGACTCTTCAGAGCTCTGTGTGTGTGTGTGCGTGTG